GGGACACCAAATTTTGGAATTCCACCAGGAACCTTCTGGAATTGGGGTTGGATGTTTGGGTTGAAATCCCTTGGAATTGGGTTGGGTCCATCTTGTATTGGGTTGGAACCAGTTGGGGTTGGGTTGGATCCATCTTTCATTGAGTTAGATGCAATTGGGATTGAGTTTGAGGGACACCAAAGTTTGGAATTCCACCAGGAACCTTCTGGAATTGGGGTTGGATTTTTGGGTTGAAATCTCCTGGAATTGGGTTGGGTCCATCTTGGATTGAGTTGGAACCAGTTGGAGTTGGGTTGGAACCAGTTGGAATTCGGTTTGAGGGACACCAAAGTTTGGGGTTCCATCAGGAACCTTCTGGAATTGGGGTTCGATATTTGGGTTGAAATCCCTTGGAATTGGGTTGGGTCCATCTTGGATTGGGTTGGAACCAACTGGGGTTGAGTTTGATCCAACTGGTATTGGGTTGGAACCAGTTGGAATTGAGTTTGAGGGACACCAAAGTTTGGGGTTCCATCAGGAACCTTCTGGAATTGGGGTTCGATATTTGGGTTGAAATCTCCTGGAATTGGGTTGGGTCCAACTGGGATTGGTCTAATCCAACTGGGATTGAGTTTGGTCCATCTTTCATTGGGTTGGACCCAACTGGGACTTGGTTTGAGGGACACCAAATTTTGGAATTCCACCAGGAACCTTCTGGAATTGGGTTGAAATCCCCTGGAATTTGGGTCGGATCCAACTGGGATTGGGTCGTAACTAGTTGGAATTGGGTTTGAGGAACACCAAATTTTGGAATTCCACCAGGAACCTTCTGGAATTGGGCTGAAATCCTCTGGATTTGGGGTCGGATCCAACTGGGATTGGTTCTGAGGAACACCAAATTTTGGAGTTCCACCAGGAACCTCCCAAAATCGTGCTGAAATGGAGGTCGTATCCACCTGGGATTGGTTTTGAGGAACACCAAAGTTTGGAGTTCCACCAGGAACCTCCTGAAATTGGGCTGAAATGGAGGTCTGACCCAACTGGGATTTGGTTTGAGGAACACCAAATTTTGGAGTTCCACCAGGAACCTCCCCGGACTCACCGCTGGGAACGCGGGATCGGTTGTAGGCCCTCATGGAGCTCTCCAGGTTCTGCTTGTCGATGGCGATGTTCTGCAGCGCGCCCTGCGCCTCGAAGCTGGCGAACTGCTGGAACTCGGGCAGCCTCCAGAAGGTCTCCTCGTCCTTCACGTGGAAGATCTCGTCGCCGTCGAAGTCGAACATGAACTCCTCGGCGTCGGGCGCCGCGCCGAGGGACTTCTGGTAGAACTCGGTCTGGACGATGCTGTGCTCGGCTGGGAGGAGGATTTTGGGTGGAAATGGGGGGAATTGGGGTTTTGTGAGGGAAATGGGGGAAAATTGGGGGTTTGGGGTGGAAATCCCGGGAAAATTGGAGATTTGGGGTGGAAATCCTGGAAAAATTGGAGGTTTCTGCTCAAAATCCCGGGAAAATTGGAGATTTTTGAGGAAAATTCCAGGAAAATTGGGGATTTTGGATCAAAATTCCAGGAAAATGGGGATTTGGATCAAAATTCCAGGAAAATTGGAGAATTTGATCAAAATTCCAGGAAAATGGGGATTTTTGATCAAAATCCTGGGAAAATTGGAGATTTTG